CTTTCCTTTGTATGTGATTTGTTTCTTTTCTCTAACTGCTTGTAGAATTTTGTTCTTCTGTTGGGTTTCTGGAATCTTAACTATTGTATGCCTATGTCTAGTGTTTTTTTTTTATCAAGGCTATTTGGAGTCCTATATGCCTCACTTATCTGTATGTCAAAGTTCTTTTCCCCTATTTGGGAAGTTTTCTCCCATCACTTCTGTGAACAGTTTTTTTTTATGTCTTCTGCATGCTCTCCCGTTTCTTCATTCACTCCAGTCAGTCTTATATTATTCTTTCTTGCATGATCTAGCAGGTGCTGGATTGATTTCTCGTGGTCCCTAACTATTTTAAAGAAATTTTTCTTTTCCTGGTCACTAATTGCAATCTTATCTTCTATATCTGAAATTCTGTCCTCACATTGGCTCATTCTTCTTTGTAAGCTTTCAATGGAGTTTTTAATCTCCTGGAAATCTGTTTGCATCTGTTTTATGGATTCCCTTTGTTTCCTATGTTGGGATTCCATCATATTCCTCAGCTCCTCTATTTTTTTATCTGTGTCTGCTCTAGATTTATTAGTCATGTGTTGAACTATGGACACAATCTCTGCTTTTATCTGAGAAATAATTTCATTTTTTCCAGGTCCCCTTTCATTGCCAGTTCAGCGAGTCCAGGTGGATGAGTATCAGATTGTTCCATCTCATTGCCCTCTAGGGTTCCTTTAGGTGATCTGGTAGTCTGGTTTTGGGACTTATTTACATGTCTTCTCATTTCAAGAGATGCAGCCTGCTGTGTCTTTGTTGAGGCATTTTTTTGCTCACCCAGTGGTCTTGAATTCTCAGCAAGCCACCGAGCAGCCTTTACTCTGCTGCTCACCAGTACACCAATTCCTGGGTTCAGAGTGGTGGCCTTCTAGATCCCTGAGCTTACCTGTTGTCTGGGTGGGCTTCTGGCTGGGGCCTGAGCACACTTGGGATGGTATCTAGGCATGCCTCTCCTTGGGGCCCCTATGTAGCTATTGTCTGGGAGGGCTTTTGGTTGGGGGCTGTGCACCACAGTTTCTGTTATCTGCACAGGCTTTGGCTGGGGTCTTCTCGCACTTTCCAATGGTATTGCAGTGAGTCTCTGTGTGCCCGTGAAGCTCCTCTCTGCGGAGGTTCCTGGCCTGGGGGGCGTGCTGGAGCCTCTGGTGTTGGAGGCCCCCCTGCTGGGATCTGTTTACAGCAGCACTGGTCTGGGCCACACAGTTGCTCCCAGGGATCTGCACACAATCACCAATGGAATGGCGGGCCTCCGTGGGAGCCCATGTGTCAGTGCAGCACAAGACTACCTGATCTTAATTCAGGACTTGCCATTTCAAGGATGGCTGCAGTGTTTCTGGCCTCATCTTGCAGGCTGCTCAGCCCCTGATAGCTACCTGCAAATGATCCACATGAGTCTTCTTAGGCCTCCACAGTCATGTCCTTCAATCAACAGTGCAGAGGAGTAGCTGCTGAAAAGAAAAGTAGCACAATAAAAAAGGATCAGCTAAAGGAGGCTCATGTTTCCTGTGAATCCTCCAGAAATAAGCAGAGGACCGAGTGCCACTGGAGCCCTCTGATGACCCTTAGTGCACAGTGCAGAGGTCCTGGGCATGGCCTAAACTGAGGGAGTTTTTACTACCATCTGCTAATTTCATCATTCTTCTTTAGTCATCATGTGAAAGTTAGGTCTTTCTATTCTACCAACTAGGCAGGCAGTCAGATTGACTGATATATATGAATGAACACTCATGAACTGTAGTTTCTTGTCCTGGGTTTATTTTCCCTCTGGCTTTAACTGTTAGTATTACAATTTTGTTACTCAAATTTGGCTAGTGGGCGCTCCTTTCCAGAATGCTTTTCAGCATTCTCTGCCCATGTCCTTGGCTGTATTGTGAGCTCTCTCATGGTTTTCTCTACAAGGATGTTCCCAGGTTCATTTCACTCTGGGCGCAGTCGGGAGCAGCCCCCAAGCCCGGAGCCACCGCAAATCACCCATTCCACTGGGACTAAAAGGTGTCAAACTGCCCTAAACTGTACCAGTAAAAGAATTTAAGCAAAAACCCCCAAAAAACAACAACAAAAAAACCCCTGCCCTAGCTGGTGTGCTTTCTCCCCCAAAGGCAAAAGGCGGTTGGTGGGTGCGAGGGCAACGCGCGCGCCCTCTGGTGGCCGGAGTTGCGCAGGACGGGAGCATCGTGCTGAGTGGTGACCGTTGGTCTCGCGCCCCCTGGCCGTTTCGCGTGGAATCACTTCAAATTTCCATCACTGCTGATAGCAAGTTTGGGAGGCTACAAACATGTGGAAACAAAGGAACTGGCAGGTTTTCGGTTTTTTCTTTTCCTTTCCTTACTAAAGAGCTGTATGTTACACAGAAAAATGCAATCCCTCGAGATGTCTGAGAGAGAGGGCGCACGCGACGCTCCCTTCCCGCGCACCTTGGCCAGCCGAGGGCTCTCGTTGCCCCGCGCCCGGGGAACCCAACGTTGCCCCTCTCAGCTAGTCTCGTGAAGTCCGGCGGTTTTGGCGGTTTGTGGCGGCTCTGGGGCTTGCGGGGCCCTCCGGGATCCTCCTAGAGTGAGTAAAAAGTTCTGCAACAGCCTCATTTCCAAAAAATGCGGTTTGAGGCTGTGTGATTTTGTGTGCCACATGCATCTCTGTGTCAGGGCCCTGGGGAGATACCTCCACCTGTCCCAGGCCCCTATGGCCCCTTGAGAGACCACCAGACACTTCTAGATTCCTCCTAGGTGTTGTGGGGTTTAGACCAGTTTTGTCCTCCACTCTCATCCTCAGTTTTTGTCCAGACTGCAGACAGACATTTCTTCTGGTCCCACGTGGTGACACAGGACTTCCGGACACGCCAGCGCAGAAAACTGGACTTCCTTGGGGTGCAGGTCTACATGGAGGAGGGCCGGACTCCCTGGAGGCCGCTGTAAGTTTAGGGGAAAGGAGAAGGTCGGCCAGGATTTCCCAATAAGAAGACTCTTGGGACAGCTGGGAGCAGCGCCCACCTCTTTGGGACAGTGTTAAGCAGTGGGTGTCTGAAACATTGAGGAAATGAGATCTTTGTTTTTGTTTTTTGTTTTGCCAAGACAGCTTTATACACTTAATAAAATTTGCTTTTCCACTGGGCCTGCACTTGTAGAAGTTGCAGAGTATTTCACTGACTGGATAAGGCCTTGGATTTGTTGAAAATGTCAATGTTTTGCTCACTGTGGAATGTTCACCATTCAACTTGATCAGTAAAAGATCTCATTATTATATTGTCCTTGATGACTTAAGTCATTTGGAAGCCCCTTAAAACTTTTGTGTTTAACCCCTGTGCTGGACATAGCTTTTGTAAAGGGTTGAGATTTTAGTGGTAAATATCAGGTCTAAAAGTCTGCTAACATTGTCATACCCGAAAGCCCATTGTCCTTATTTTTGTTGTTGAATTTTTGCTTGTAACATTCTCCTGTGCTTAAAACTTCACTAAAGGTGGTGTGAAGCTAAGTGAGAAAAGAAAGGGGTGATTTATGTGACTTGGTTACTAGTTGCATGGAAATGATTTTGCTGAGTTTGCCAATCTTAGTGGCAACAACTAATCTCCATCAAAAGGACTTAGGTCCTAGAGACAGTGACAGAGGAGGAGGCTGTGCTGGGATTGCATGAGATGAACCTGGGAACATCCGTGTAGAGAAAACCATGAGACAGATCATATGTAACTGAAGACATGGGCAGAGGATGCTGAAGGAGTGGAAGGAGATCCCACTGGACAAATATGAGCATCAAAATAAGGATAGTGACAGTTAAAACCCAGGACATGAAACTGTAGTTCATGAGTGTTCATTCATATATATCAGTCAATCTGACTGCCTGCCTAGTTGGTAGAATAGAAAGACCTAACTTTCACATGATGACTAAAGAAGAATGATGAAATTAGCAGATGGTAGTAAAAACTCCCTCAGTTTAGGCCATGCCCAGGACCTCTGCACTGTGCACTAAGGGTCATCAGAGGGCTCCAGTGGCTCTTGGTCCTCTGCTTATTTCTGGGGGATTCACAGGAAACATGAGCCTCCTTTAGCTGATCCTTTTTTATTGTGCTACTTTTCTTTTCAGCAGTTACTCCTCTGCACTGTTGATTGAAGGACATGACTGTGGAGGCCTAAGAAGACTCATGTGGATCATTTGCAGGTAGCTATCAGGGGCTGAGCAGCCTGCAAGATGAGGCCAAAAACACTGCAACCATCCTTCAAATGCTGAGTCCTGCCTGTGGCCCTCTGTACCAGTACATCTGCAGGGGGCCTCCTGTGGTTCTACCTAGTGAAGAAAGGTCACACAGGCCTCCTCAACCCTGAAGGACAAACGTTTGCAGCAAGGACAGGATCCTGCCCTGTGTTGTAAAGAATATCTGAGGAGGTCACAGGTCCCTCACCAGACAGAAATTCCCAGGCTGGACAACACCCCCAGGGCCACTGTCCTTGGGCCCAAAGGGAAGATGCACACACTCCAGGGGCCAAGATGGAAACTCTTGAGTCCACAGTGTCCTTTCAGAACCAGCAGGGGACAGCTACCCAAAACCTTTTTGCCCCTCTCTGCCTCTTTTTCCAAGGTATTTGTTTGTCTAAAGAGACATTTTCAGTGGCAATGGCTGGCTGGTCCCTTAAATGTGCCTGAAGGGAACTGGCTAGTCAATGTGCAGTGTCTGTGGAAGGGGGCGTTCCCTCCTCCCAGAAGGCATTCATCAAGGAGAAGTCACCTTTCAGTGCAGAGTTCTCTACAAATCTGCTGGATACTTGGCAGGTAGCCTGGTCCTGGGACCTGCACCCATCAGCCATGGAACAAACACAGCATCAGTGGTCAGTGGTCACTATCAATACTTGGTAGTAAAGGGGCACTTTGTCTACATCCTTCTATGTGTGGGTTTGGCAGGGACATGTGTCCTCATGTGTGGCTCTGCTGCTGTGTTCCTAATTGGGAAGTAGGTGTCATTGCAGGGTTTTTAGAGGGACCTGCATGGTACTCTGATCTGCCTTGATTTCCCTTGTTCAAGGCTCTCCTGTTCTGGTCCCTCTGTCACTGTGGAGCTGAGATCTTGTCTTGCCTTTCCTTCTCTTTGGCTCCTCTTGTCCCAGAGGGAAGAAGAGCCAGGGCTTCTACTCTTACCTGTCCTCCAGCCCAACCTTCAGCCTGTGGCTTTCATGGCACCTGGCCAAGATGGCTCCATAGAGGCCACACCTTTGTCACTCATGCTTGCTACCCCTGATCCCCTTGAATTTGAGAGAAAAAAGGAAGTCCAGGCACCCTAAATGGGCCACTGAACTTGAAGTCCATTCTCTGAAGCCAGTTGGAAAAGGAGAAGCCAAGTCCTCTGTGTGTGCTCTGCACAAGCTGAAGATCCCTGTTGCCTTCTTTCCTGGAGGACACCAGGGGGGCCTGCAGGACTGAAGGAAGCTTGAAGATCAGGCTGCCCCCAGAAGGATGACAGTGGGCTCCTGGTGGCACCCTGCTTCTCACCAGTGGAAGCACTTCTGTCCTGTGAGTGTGTGACCACACTCAAACTTTCTGCACATTCTGAGCCTGAGGAGCCACGTCATTTCCTCCTACCTTGAAAGCTGACTGGAGATTCCCATGGTATCAGCCCTTGTTATTATTGTCCCTCACTCTAAGGACAGAGAGGGTGTGGGAACAGGACACCGACTACTGAATGTAAGTCTCTGGTCAAAGACTTAGTGTATGAGTGTGTGCAAGGATGCAAAGGTCCATAAGGTTTGTTCTATGTATTCTTGTAGAAATGCATTATGAAAATAGTGAAATGTTTGGGTAATTGAAGCTCTGAGCAGGTGCAGTGCAGAGCTTAGAAATGGATGAGGGAAGAATGACTGGAGGCTTCAGACCTCCGCTGAGGGATGTGAGGCTGGCCAGGGAATGTCCTGGGGATGGCCGAGGTAGAGCCTTTCCAGACTGTGAGCATGGAGTCCTGGGTGTCCTACTCCTCTTCCCCCAAGCAGATGCCTGGCTGCAGCACACCTGGCTAGGTTCTGCAACTACTGCCAGGTGCTGTTGCTCTTGATGAAGAGAGCCTCCCTCAATGCCTCACCAGCAGGAGGGCTGTGAGGGTGTTCTCCGTGTAGGTGCAACCTGCTACTAGAGTTCTGGCCATTTAGCAGGATGTGGGGTGAAGGATGGCTTCAGGATACTGGTGAAAGCATCTTTCAGAGTGAGCCAGGGATCCTGGGGGTGGGGGGGTAGGAGGTGCAGATGAGCCTGGTATCTTTGCTTAGTGCCACCGAGGCAGCTCTGACTGCTGGCTGGTCTGGGTCTCTGCCCACAGCTTCATATGTGTGCTTGCTTTTTTTGGTTCTTCCGGCTTCTCAGTGTATTTTGATTCCAAATCAAATGCCTTGTCCTGGTTTTTTCTTTTCCCTTTATGGAACCTCTGGCCAACACTGGGGCTCTGTGTCCCTAGAGTCTACTGATTGCTGGTCCTATGAAAGATGATTTGTCCTGCAGCATGAGGCCGTGGGCAGCAGAGAAGATCGCAACCTCCAGCACAGATGCTGGTACTGACACTGGCTAGTTGTTTTGGCCCCAACCTAGGTGTGACCCTCCTCTTGGTGGTCACAGCATCCAAACCTAGGGACCACTGAGTCAGCAGAATGGGGCCACACCCCCTTCCTGGACAGGGGGTCTCAGTGGCAGGGAGACTTGTACTCCCAGAAATTTGCTATTTGGTCCTCAACTCAGCCCTGAATGCACCGCTAGATGGATTTTTCTCCTTGTCTTAGCTCCAGAAAGGCTCTGAAGTTTGCAGGATTTGAGAGGTAACCCCTGATGGGTTTCCCCTTCAGAAGGTCATATCTCCTCTTATCCATAGAGACAGTTTATGCTGATAGTCCTGGGCTCTGTTACTTGGATCTTCTAGTCTCCTTCCTTCTTATCAGTGATTAAGACACTGATACATATGTTTCACTGGACCCTCTTCCCCTTCCCTCTCCTGGGCATGAGGTCTTCCCCCTGAGTAGGGGTCCCCACTCCTGCCTCTTCTAGGGTGCTCTCATTTGTGTCTGCTGGGGTCTTATTGTGGAGTTGGTGATAGATTCTTGTCTGTTTGCTGTGTTTCCCAAGCCGAGGGACTTGTGAGAGTCTACAAACGATATAGAGAGATTATGCTGCTTTGTGCTCCTCAGTCTGCCTCAACCCATACAATCCCTGTGAAGGACGAGTGTCATGGGAAGTTGCATCCTCATTGTGTGTTGTGTGATACCTGCCAAGAAATAGGGTCCCGTCCTGGTCCATCTGGACTGCTGTAACAAAGTACCTCAGACTGGGTAACTTCTAAACTACAGAAACTTACTGCTTCCTGTCCTGGAGGCTGGGCAGTCCATGATGAAGAAAATCACATTCGGTGTTGGCAGAGGCCAGTATCTCATGGACAGCACCTCCTATTTGAGTTCCTCTGGCAGAAGGGACAAGAGAGCTCACCCCATTGTTCTTGTCAGTGCACCAGTCCCATTGCTGTGGTTGCAGCTCTCATGACACTGTTTTCCAGAGAAGATGGAGGTTCTGGTGACAGTAGAGAACACAGGCACAGAGCCATCCTTCATCAGCTTTGTGGCCTGAGGCATTTGGACATGAGCCCTTTCTACATTGAATGCCTGCCCTCCCCTGCGAATTTTTGCTGGAATGAGAGTTCCTCTTTCAGGACAACACCATTGTGGCGTTTCTGAGTTCCAATAGGCTTTGGAGTACTGTAATGGGAAAAGCCAGGCATGATGGTGCATGCCTATCATCCTAGAACTCTGGGAGGCTGGGCTGAGAGGAGGGTGGCAAGTTCAAGCCTAGCCTGGGCAATCAAAGATTTGTCGAGGCTCTGTCTCAAAAAAAGGAGGGTAAAAATTGCTGGAGGTGTAGCGCAGTGAGACGGCTGTGGGATAAGGACCCAGTATCATTCACTCACTCTCTCTCTCTCACACACACACACACACACACACTCTTCTTCACTTCACACTTTGTTTCCATCAGCAAAAAAGTTGTTAAATTGGTTGCTACTGCTTTCAGCAACATAAGAAAAAGAAGATACCCCTTCCACACAAAAAGCCGAAGTGGGTCCCAGTTTAGTCCTCACTATAACTCCCTGAAGCCCTCACATCCCTCCCATCCGCTGAAGCGTGCTGCCGCCTAGCTGACTGTGCAGAAGAATGTGAGGATCTGATGTGGATTCCCAGCCTCCTGTCAGAGCTCTGGACCCTCATGAAGGGTCCTCGAGCATTCTTTTTCTTTTTTAAAAAAATTCTTTTATTGGTACATTTTAGGTATACAATACATTTACATTCATCATTCTATGTAGAGTATCATATCGTCAGCAAATAATGACAGTTTAACTTCTTCTTTTCCTATCTTTATTCCTTTTATTTATTTCTCTTGTCTAATTGCTGTGGTTAATATTGCCAAAACTACATTGAAGAGGAGTGGTAGTAATGGACACCGTTGTCTTGTTCTGATTTTAGTCTGAAAGTTTTCTGGTTTTGACCATTTAATATGATGTTGGCTGTTGGTTTTTCATAGATAGCCTTAATCAGGTTGTGATAAAGACCTTCTATTCCAATTTTCTATGCGGTTTTTATCATGAATGGGTGTTGGATTTTGTCAAATGCTTTTTCTGCATCTATTGAGATGATCATATGGTTTTTGTCCTTGGCTCTATTGATATAGTGTATTACATTTATTGATTTGTGTATGTTGAACCATCCCTGCATCCCTGGGATGAATTCCACTTGGTCAGGTTGTATGATCTTCTTGATGATCTTCTGGATTCTATTTGCCAGTATCTTTTTTTTTCAAAGTATCTTAACATAATTTATTTAACTCTAAAGCAACTAGGAAATAAGCAAAATATCATAAAAGGAAAACAACAAAAGGTTACTTCCTCCAGGGGCCAACAGACAGGATCTGTGCAGCAAAGCAATTAACCTTCACATACCTGGAGTCTGATTTGAAAGGCCATCAAAAACTGATTACTGAAAATCACAAATGTCACCACTGAAAGGAACGTTACTTAAAGTCAAAAAACTTCCCACAGGGCCTCCTTCTTTGAAGGAATTTCCGAATGGTGCTAGCACAGGTTGGTTACCTTACATGGTATTGATGGCTCTATTAGGGGATCAGAATACCCTAGTCAGTGCTGTTTTAAAATCTTTCTGGGAGGGAAAAAACAAAATAATCTACTGTTCCCTAACATATAAGGCTTAGCACCCAGAGAAAGCTTCTGCCCCCAAAAAAGACTTTCCACATAGGGTTAGGCTTCATTAAATGAGGCGTGATCTTTCATTTTCTGGGTGTGTCTTTTCTTGCAAGGTCTTTAGAGGCAGAAGTTCCACTTGAGTTCTAATACATATCCCTGTGAGCTCAGCCTCCTGAAAACATACACCTCCTAGGTTCTAGGTTCTCCCTTACCAGTGAGTGTATTTGCTACTTCACAGCCACCAGAACTGCACATACACTATTGAAAAATAACATGATGAAAAATACAGCTACAGCTGCAAGTTTGGCATAAGTGGAATGTATGTTCAAGTACTTCCCATCCTGGTGGTATTCCTTACACAGACTGGACAAATTGTTAGCCTTTGAATCCAATGCTAGGAGCGCTTCTCTCCATTGCAGCACTTCTTTAATGTTGGCTACCACGATCCTCTGCACATCCTGCAACTCGGTGTTGATGGAGCCAAGGTTTCTCCAGGCATGACTGTCAATGTAGAGCTTCTTGGTTTTCTGAATGAAGGTATCAAACTCAATAAAAGAATAAGGTCTGGACACAGTAGGCACCTTCTTCCCATGCTGTTCATCAAATTCTGAATGCAACTCTTGTAGGTAGGCAAAAGACAACTTTTTAGGGATGGCAGCTTCACACAAAACCAAATAACACACTCCCTGCTCAATAATGTAGCTGTTCATCCTCCATGGACGCGGCCAGCAGGAGCCCATCCCGCCACTCTGGCGATCATCATCAGCAACACCCATCTTCACCGGCTACAGGGACCCAACACTGGTCCACACTGCCGGAGGCCTCGTTCTCACTTCCTCTGCTGTGAGGACAGCAAAACCTCTACCTCAGTTTCCAAAGATGCAGCCGCTTGCTTCTTCGCTTCCTGCTGAGGTAGCCAGAAGCAGCCCCTGCCGGTATCTTATTAAGGGTTTTTGCATCTATGTTCATTAGTGAGATTGGCCTATAGTTCTCTCTTTTGGTTAGATCTTTCTCTGCTTTGGGGATCAAAGTGATGCTTGCTCCCAGGAATGAATTTGGGAGTATTGCTTCCCTTTCAATTTTGTTGAAGAGTATAAACAGTAGTGGCAGTAGTTCCTCTCTAAATGTCTTGTAGAATTCAGCAGTGAAGCCATCAGGGCCAGGGCTTTTCTTTGTTGGTGAATCTTTAATTATGTTTTCAATTTCACTGATTGTAATTGGGGTGTTTAGGATTTTTATATCTTCTTCATTCAGCTTTGGTAATTCATACGTATCTAGGAATCTGTCTATTTCTTCTGTGTTTTCCATTTTATTAGAATACAGATTCTTAAAGTAGGTATTGATGATCCTCTGGATTTCTGCTGGATCTGTTGTGACTTCTCCTTTTTCATTCCTCATTGCATGGATTTGGGCCTTTTCTTTCCTTTTTTTGGATAAGGTTGGCTAAGGGTTTGTCAATTTTATTTATTCTTTCGAAAAACCAACTCTTCAATGCATTGATTTTTTGTATCATTCTGTTAGTCTCCATTGCATTGATTTCTGCCCTGATCTTTATAGTTTCATCCCTTGTATGAGCTTTGGGTTTGTCTTACTCTTCTTTTTCTAGGAGCTTGAGGATAAGCATTAGGTTGTTTATTTGAGCTCTCTGTGTTTTCCTAGTATGGGCATTTACTGCTATGAATTTCCTTCATAGAACTGCTTTCATTGTATCCCATAGATTCCTGTATGTTGTATTGGCATTATCATCTAATGGTAGAAACTATCTAAATCCTTCTTTAATTTCCTCTGTGACCCATTGGTTGTTCAGGAGAGTGTTATTCAATTTCCATGTGTTTGTGGGGTTCTTGCAGTTTCTTATGCTATTGATCTCCAATTATATTGCACTATAGTAATATACAGGGGATAACTTCAGTTCCTTTGCATTTATTTAAGCATGTCCTATGAGCTAGCATATGGTTTATATTGGAGAATGATCCATGTGCAGCTGAAAAGAATGTATATTCTGATTTTGTGGGTGGAACACTCTGTAGACATCTATTAAGTCCTATTGTTCAAAAGCTTGGTTCAGTTCTATTAATTCATTGTTGATTTTCTGTCTAGATGATCTGTCTATTTGTAACAGTTGGGTACTGAGGTCTCCTACTACAATTGTATTAGTGCTTATTTGGTTTTTCATGTCCATTAATATTTGTTTTGTATAGTTGGGAGCACTAGTATTTGGTGTATATATATTTATGATTGTCATCTCTTCTTGGATTGTTCCCTTTACAAGGATATAGTGACCTTCTTTGTCCCTCTTAATTAGTTTTGGTTTGAAATCTACCTTGTCTGCAGATAAAATAGCTACCCCTGCTTTTTTCCAGGTTCCTGTCACATGGAGAGTTGTTTTCCATCCTTTTACTTTCAGTCTATGAATTTCTTTTTGAATCAAGCATGTTTCTTGTATACAGCATATTATTGGATTTTGTTTTTTAATCCATTCTGCCAGTCTATTTTTTTTGATTGGTGAGTTAAGGCCATTAACATTGATGGTTATAATTGATACATATTGACTCATCCTTGTCATGTTATTTTACTGTTGTTGCCTCTTTTATTTTTTATTTTCCCCCCTTTCCCTTTAATTTCTTGCCTTGTCTGATGGCTTCACGCTGTTGGTCCTTGTGGAGTTGTGACCCTCATTTCCTTTTTCTAGGATATTGTTTAGAATTGTGTGGAGTGCTGTTTCGGTAATTACAAAGTTTCTTAGGTGTTCTTTGTCATGGAAGTATCTAATTTCCCCATCAATTTTGAAAGGTAATTTTGCAGGATACAACAGTCTAGGATGGAGGTTATTTTCTTTTAGGGCTTGAAATACCTCACTCCAGGCTCTCCTTGACTTGAGGGTTTGTATGTGATTTCTTTCTTTTCTCTAATTGCTTGTAGGATTTTGATCTTCTATTGGGTTTCTGGGATCTTGACTGTTATATGTCTAGGTGTAGACTTTTTTCTATCATGCCTCACTTATCTATATGTCAAATTCTTTTCATCTGTTTGGGAAGTTTTCTGTCATTAATTCTGTGTATAGATTTTTATGTCATTTGTACTTTTTCCTGCTTTTTCATGTACTCCTATCAGTCTTATGTTATTCTTCTTTGTGTTATGTAGGAGCTGCTGGATCAATTTCTCATGGTCCCTTACTATTTTTAAGAAATCTCTCTTTTCATAGTCACTAACTGCAATCCTGTCTTCTATATCTGATATTCTATCTTCACATTCAGTCAATCTGCTGTGAATACTTTTTTTTTTTGGTACTGGGGATCGAACTTGGGTCCTTGAGCTTACGAGGCAGGCGGTGGGACCACTTAGCTAAATTCCCAGCCCTGCCATGAATACTTTCAGTGGAGTTTTAAATCTCCTGAATATCTGTTTGAATCTGTTTCATGGATTCCATTTCTTTCCTATGCTGGGCATTCATGGCTTCCATCATGGTCCTGAGCTCATCTTTTTTTTTATCTGTTTCTGTTCTAGAGTCTCTAATCTTGTCTTTCATTCTGCTCACCATCTCTGTAGTTATCTGGGTAATTATTTCTGTTTTGAATTTTTCTAGAGCCTCATTCATCTGTTGTGTTATTTCCTGTGCTATCAGTTGAGGGTGTCCACTTGGTTAATTATCAGATTTTTCCACCTCGTTTCCCCCAGAATTTGTCTTGGGTGAGCTGGAAGTCTGGGTTTGTGCCTTGCTTAAATGTCTTCTCATTTCTAATTTTGCTGTTAGTGCTGTTTTTTGGTTTAATTCCTGGGCTGTTACTTCAATATTGCTTATTGTGAGTATCTTTTATTACTTGTGTTTAGAGCCCTTATGGAGTGATTGCTTCTCAGAGATATCTTCCAGGTATGGCTGGTCTTTTTAGGATTTGAGTCTCTAATGACTCTTAAGCAATTAACCACGATGGTCCAGTGTGGCTTTATTGCAGAGCAATTCTTCACTTTTCTAGTAGGCTTCAATTTTCACTGAAGAGCCTCAGAGAGGCCCTCTCTCTGTTGTTCACTTCTGCTTTATCTTCTGGAGCTCATAACCATGGCCTTTATGGCCCCTCAGTGCCTCTGCAGTGTGGATTCAGATACTGTGTGGCCTGCGTGGTGGTGTGCTCCAGGGACCCAGCCTTCAAGGCAGGATGGAGGGTCCAGGGGCACAGCACTGGCATTGGCGATGTGGAGGGTTTCCTTGAGCATTCTTCAGGGGCTCAGATGGTATAGGAGCTGAACCTCACTTTGCTGCAGCTCAGCCAAATACACACACACACACATATACACACACACACTATATACATATATATATAATGTATATATATATATGGTCCTCTTTAGTCCACTTATAACCCTGATAACAGATGAGCTCTTCTTTCTTCCTTAGAGATACTGGCTTAAAAGCCATCTTTTTTTTTTTTGGTACCAGGGATCGAACTCGAAT